CCCCCCCCCCCCCCCCCCCCCGCCAATAGCGCCTGCTATTATTGTGTTCTGCAAAGGTTGAGACTAAAGTGTCAGGAAGGAAAAGAGGAGAGAAAAGCAACTGAGGCCGAAGGAACTGGTGTGGCCCTCCAGAGCCAATTAAGAGAACTGGACGGCGGAGATCCGGCGGGAACACCGTGGTGCGGGGCAAGGAGCAACTGAAGCGGTGCGGTCTGTGGGGCTGGGTCTTCTTGCACCTCGGGTCACGCCTCCTTGGCGAGAAGGCGCCTCGCCTTTGATTGCTTCCAGTTCCTGCAGAACTTCCTGCCCTGGTGGAGAAGCGGGTCTTGCTTGGGTCGCTCTCGCTCCTGGTCTGAGGCGTGAGACTGAATTCACACAGTACTGGGCCCCCGAAGCCGAGTGGGGTCGGGGGAACAGAGCCTGCGAGCCCCCGCACCCCGAGTGAGGGGGCCCGGTGTTGGGGTCCTCTCTCCCCTTGCACCCGCACCCCTCCGGGCTCTGTGCCTCCCCGGGGACCCCTCGCCGGGAAATGGCCGCGCTGATGCGAGGCAAGGACTCGTCCCGCTGTCTGCTCCTACTGGCCGCGGTGCTGATGGTGGAGAGCTCACAGCTCGGCAGCTCGCGGGCCAAACTCAACTCCATCAAGTCCTCTCTGGGCGGGGAGACGCCTGCCCAGGCCGCCAATCGATCAGCGGGCACATACCAAGGACTGGCTTTCGGCGGCAGTAAGAAGGGCAAAAACCTGGGGCAGGTAGGAAAACACTCCAAATACACTCTACAGCCAAGAGCGGTAGGCACCAGCGCTCTTGAGCGTGTAGTTTGCCTTTGCACCCCTCAACCTTTCTAGTGCGCCCCCACGTGTGGGCGCGCACTGCACCTGGGGAGGGGTTCCCAGAAGCAGATCTTCGTGGGTGCGGGTGCAGTGGCTGCTGGTGCTGGGGGGCGTGGAGCGGACGGGTTAGGGTTCTCCCACCTTTGTTTGGGGACTTGGGCAGGTACAAGATCCAGATCCAGTGTGTACCGGTGGGGAAAGGTCCTTCTCCATATTTATCACGACGATGCTGACGATAATGTTAATAGCAGCTAACACATAGCAAAGATTTTGTGTCAGGAACCATTCTAAGCGCTTACCTTTATTTAATCTTCCCAACCCTATGAGTTAGTCGCTGTTACTTTTCCCCTTCTGCCAATGAAAAAAATTGAGTTACGGAGTAATTAAGAGATTTACCCAAAGCGCACAAGCTAATGCTAAGTCGCAGAATGGGCTTCCAATCCTAACAGTCAGGGGCCAAATCTTGGTCTCTCAACCGTTACATTTCACAATCTAGAGGGAGAATTTACCCCCTTTCAGGTTCTGTTCCCCTCCCAACCACTTTCTTCATTCAAAGAACTGAGGTCACAGGCAGAAAACTTGAATAGACGCTCCATCTCTCACTTCTGTAGCCTCATAAATAAATCATCCAGGTGGGAGCTATCTGACCAAGCGACGGTGACAGCATCTTAACGCGGGCGACCTAGCAAGGTGGACCCCGGATGCATTTTTGCAAGAGGGCGTCCCTCTGTCACACAGATACATTGACAGTCGCTTGCAAAATGTTACACAAACATATACACACCGTATAACGACCGTGCACCCTCCGCACTGCTGTGGTCGGAGCGCAATGGCCAAGAGAGGGGGGCCTTGTGGGCACTGGGAACCAGGACAGCTCCCCCTTTCTGCTCCTTTTGTAGGAAGCCAAAAGTGAAAGCTCGTTTGCCAAACAGCACTCGCCCTTCTCAGTACAACTGTCAACCCGTGAAGTGGCTCATTGCCCCAGGGAGCCTGGGTTTCCCTGTTTTATCAGAGGAGCTTGCTGCAGCCCCTATGCGAGCTCTGGTGTCCTCCATTGCCCCTGCCCCTATGGCAGACGGCAGGGTAGGGGTGAGAGCAAGGGCCAGTCCTGGATGGACAGGGAGGGAAAAGTTGCCCAGTGCTTGGTCCCCTACTGCCCTCTCATGGGGGACAATTTTGCTAGTTTTGCAGTTCCAGAATGCTTTAAAATGGTTTTGAAATTCTTTGGCTTAGGCTTTGAAATGGCAACCATTTCAGCTATCTTTTCAAAGAAATACAAAGTCTACAATCACAAGATTCTTTTTTAAGACCTTAAGGGAAATAAACTATATATACGCATACTTACTACAAGCATACATATATCCTTTGCACATTCTCACACATGTGCACCTATCTCCACATTTATGTGACCATTTTCATTCCCTTTTACTCTTCCCTCCTAAACACCCTGATACTTTCGATAGTAATGGACATAACATTCTCTTAGATATCTATCGTCATGAGATGAGGCGAAGGTTGGAAAGAAAGGATGCTGTCAATCCAAATCATAAGCCTTTTCTCCAATGCTACTGACTTCAAATTTCATCTTATCAGTTGTTGAAGAGAGCTAGATGTTTATTTAGTTCAGCCAAGGACAGAGGGATGGACCCAATGATCTTTTGAGGTTCCTTTCGATTCTCATCCATGTACATTTGTGAGATTCTGTAAAAGGCTTTCTGCTTCTGTCACCACTGGGCCCCAACACTTGATGTTCCTGAATCAAATTATCAGTTATGTCAAAACTGTCATTAGCCCTGGGGTTTACATGGACTAAACTGAAGATTGCCGCCCACAATCTAGCTTATGCCTTATGTTTTGATATGTCTCTTTTGCTCTCTCCAAACATCTGCTCCTTAAAGAGGTTGCAACTCTATTTGCATGTCTTCAGATGGAAAATTTATTTGTTTTACAAATGAGTTTAGTCTTCTCTTCCTTCCTTCCTTCCTTCCTTTCTCTTTCTCTCTTTCTGTCTTTCAAGTTGAAATTCTTGTATACTCTCCATAACCTAGCAGTTCCGTGGAATATATATCATTATATTTCCTTAATTATATATCCTTAAGATTTGATGTCAGGTTTGTGAGAAAATGGTAATTTATGAGAGATAGTGGTAACATAAAGCACTGAGTTGAATCGAAGTAAAATAGATGGAAAATAGGATTATCTTTTGTTATTTTCTGGCTTCTCGAGTGCTTAGCGGGTGATCTATAATATATATTATTATGAAGAAACAAACAGAAAAAATCTATCTTCTTTGAAGTAGAAAGAGGAATTCTTTGAATATTTATGTGTCTCTTTGCTTTCTTTATTCTACTAGCTATGTGGTTTCTGTGATTCTTAGGACTCTAATTTTCAGTAATAGAATGGAAGTTAGAAAGTCTATTCAAACAGGATGATGCCACATCCTTTTTTGGAGAAAAAAAAAAAACACCTAGAATTGAATTGTAACTGAGCTGAATTTTTATCCATCAGAAATAGAAAAATATGATTGATTGAGAAGATTGGAAATAAAGTATCAGCTGATCAAACCAGCTAATTATATAGTGTCATCCTGAGGCCGGATCATTTAATTTTTCTCCTCCTCTCCATCCTTGATTACTGATGCAGAAATATATGTGTTTCAGAGATACAGGATACAGGAACAGGAAACTGTAGGATGCAAATTCAAGTAGGCACTTTAGAAACTTAGTCTTTGGTCTTCTTTTCCTTAAGTGAAAATTGAATAATTGTCTATTTTTTCTGACTTACTTTCAGAATAGATAATTAAAATAAAGATTTTATTGTGATCGCAGAATAAATTATTGAAGGAATTTAATAATTCATTAATCTACAAAAGTGAAAATGAGACAAAATGGGCCCCAATGTTTTCTTGATTCAATGTAGTCTGTTTTCATATGAAGTAAACATTCTTAGGAATATAGGATATAGGCATTAGGAATTAGGAATATTGAATATAGAATATATAGAATATATTCCTATATAGAATATAGGAATTCAATTTGTTCAGGAGGCAAGGTGGATTATTTGTAAATCACTCTTGGAAAAGCTGGCTTTGAATTTCAGGAAAGATTTAGAGAGCCCAGAAAGGCAATGTACTGCTCTCCAGAGGTGTTACAGTTCTCATTTTTAGGTTTGCTTTCAAAGACAGTTATAAGTTATAATGGAAAGTGACATAGAAAATTGAATATGACAGTATTCAGGTGATTGATACAGAAAGAGCAAAAATGATTTTGCTGAATTATTCACACATATGTTTTAATTTGACTTTCTGTTTTCAGCTATTGCTTACGGGTTTTAAAGGATAGTGTATATATGTATAGGTATATGGGATAAATTAAGTTGTGGACTGTAACTAATGTATATACACGTCAATATATTTCAGTTTTTAAAGAGATTATTGAAAATGTTCTAAATTAAAAAGAATTTTAAACAAAACCTTCAATATATGGATACATGTATTCTGAATAAGTACACTGTTGCTCAACATCACCCCTGGAGTTTGAGGTAATCAAATTTTATCGGCCACCATTAAGAACAAATTAAAAAGCAAGCAATTTAAAAACTCAGTTTTTCTTTGCAGTTCACTTTTTTTTTTTTTTTGATAAATGGAAATACCTTTTGGATTTGTGCTTGAAATTACTTCTTTTAGACTTCTTTACTTCTTGCTTTGCCTTTTTGAGACAAGCAGATTACTTTGAATGTACTGCTATAGGATTTTAAAATATTTTTAAAAGTTTTGAATAGAACAGTGGAAAATAATTGTTTTAAATGTAAATAAAGCTTTCTGGCATGTGTCTCTAAAAAGAAACTGAAAACTGCTTTGAAAAAAATTTAGATTCCATGATTTTCTCATATAACTTGGACATTTGGATAGGTTTGGATGAAGTTGTGTTGTGAAAAAAGAATGCTTGAAATGCATCGGAACAGAAGCTTGAGGGAGTCTGTTAGAAAGCACTAATATTTGTGTATTGCCTTTTCTTTAATAAAAGTGCCACATCTACTTGTATGCGTAAACCCTTACAAAAGTGCTCACAAAAATCAACTATATATAAAATAGATAGTCTATTTTCTATAGGTGATCACTTCGCTTTTTGAAATTATACATGACTTTTTTTTTTTTTTAAACCCCAGCCCAACTTTCTCCTGTTAGAGAGTAAATATCTGCGATTTCCTCTGGACATCAACTGATGCTAAGTATAATCGGGAATGCAAATCATTTTCAAAATTTAAAGTTTCCAAAATAGAAAGATTTTGAAACAATCCACAGTAAGATTCCTCTTCCTTCACTGTGAATAATAGAGAAATATTGATCGTTGGTACAAGTGGAAGGTGACCTCGTGAATAGCAAGAAAAGTATTTTAACGATAGTCTATGAGCATCCATCATTTTATTTTTTGCTAGAGGAGAGAGAGCAAGGGACAAGTTTACTTAAACTCACTCCAGCTGTGACTTTGACCCTACCAGAATCTTCTTTAGTACTCCCTGCTAAAGCAAACTCCTCCCAAGATGTTTCAAATCTTATAGTTTTTAAAGTAGAGAAAACAATGTAATAGAAAGGGAATTGATATATTCTGTTCTAGGAGAATATTGCCACTTCCTCTTCTTTTCCCTGCACAATCAATTTGAGTGGATATTAAAATAACCTGTTAAATTACAGAGGTCTTTTATAGTACTCAATGTATTTACATTTTAGACTCACTCTTTTCTGGCTATTCATTCTTTGATATTGATGTAACATCAAAATGAATTATAATCTTATTTCTATCTGTGATTCCCTGGTAGTCCTTTAAAGTCATTTTACTTCATTAGACCTCTAGTTACTTGTACTCATCCATAAAGGAGATAAAACTGCTCCTAGGTTTTTGGCAGGATGCAAAAGGAAA